AGACAAGGACACACGGACACAGAAGCAAGGACACAGCCAGGCATGCACGCTCCCCACTACACAGTTGCACACGCACAGCCTCATCTGTGCACTCAGTCTCCCCACCTTGGCTCTCCTGTTCCTCTCCTCCTCCCAGCCTCCCATGCCAACTTCTCTACAAGAGGGGCTGTACACACACACACACTGCAGCCCCACGCTGCGACACTGCGGAGCCTGCACACACACACACACACACACACACACACACACTGCGGAGCTCCCCCATCCAGGCCTGGAAGGAGAAAGAGAGGTCATCTGGTGTCCATCCCAAAGCCTGGACCTATCTGCACCCTGCCAGGGAAGCAGGAGGGCCTCAATAACCCCAGACGCACTAACATGAGCTCTCACAGACACACCCAGATGCGATTGCAGACTTTCAGACACTACGGGGCCCACACACTCGCTGCCAGGGCCTGACCGAGCCAGCAGCTCTCATACACACATGCAACCGTGCACATGCAACCGCACAAGGTCAGGCGGAGATGCTGAGGGCTGGCCCACGACCTCGCTGATCCCCGCACACAAAGCCATGTCAACGTGCGCCACAGACCCCCCGCCGCCCCCTGCGGCCCCGCGCACACATTCGCAGTAGCTCCACGACCACAGGCATTGGCCGGGTCAGCCGGCTTCCCGGGTCTCGCAGGCCTGGCCCCGGAGCGCAGGGGTTCCGGCGCCCCCGCCCACCGCGCACACCCAATGTCACCGGCCCCACAATGTCACACGGAAGCGGCGCCCAGCCGGCCCAGCACCTACCCCCATCTTGGCGGCTCCGCTGGGAGAGAGCCGGGCGGGCGGGGCGGGGGCCTCTGGGAGGGCTCAGGCGCAGGCTTGGGCTGGGGGCCTCTGCAGCGCCCGCGCCTCGGTCGGTGCGCGCGTCCGTTAGTCCGTCTGTTGGTCCCACCGCACAGAGGCTGCGGCGGCCGCCGCCTCCGCCTCCTCATATGCCCGCGTCCACGGGAGGGGGGCGGCGCTGGCCAATCAGGGGCGCCGCCGTGCAGACGGACGGCCGGCGGCCCCACCCCCGGTACTGCAGCTGTCCTCCCCCTGGGCTCCGCAAAGTGGCTGCGCGGCCGCGAAAGAGGGGCGCTGCGGGGGTGGGGGGATTCCCGGAGACCCCCGCAATAGGGGACCTGGAGACCCCCTCAATACGGGGTAGGGCCTCCAAGGAGGGGCGCTCAGGGAAAGAGAACCCCGGAAATCCTCTCATTGTGGGGGTGTGCCACCACCGAGAAGGGTACGCTGTGGGGGGGCGGGTGGTGACACGGGGTGGGAGGAAAGCCCGGTGAATCACTGCAGTGTGGCACCAGGGCCCCTGGAGACGGTGGTGGGTGGTGCTGTTCAGGGAGCGGGCCCTGCAGGAGGTGAAGTTGGAGGGGAACACAAGAGAGCAAGAAAGGCAATTGAGGAGGGGAGATGGGGGGAGGAGCCCTGAGATTCCTTCACTGTGGGTCCCCCCCCCACTACGCCTGAGCTATCCAATGAGCCTCAACCACACAGGGTATACGGGAGACACAACACGGTGGAGGACGGCCCCAGGAGACCCAGAAAATGCCCAGTATCACAGTTACACAGGACCATCACACTCATAGCCCAGACGCTAGGGACATGCACACACCACAGGGTTGCACTCATATTCCATCACATGCCAGCATGTGCCCTCACACACACACCACCCCATCACACACAGAGTCTCAAACATATAGGAGTGAAACACACAAGGCACACACCTTACACACCCATCATACCACAAGATAATCACAATCACAGTCACAAAGTGCTGTGCAGACTAACATGGACACTCCGAAAATCACAGACTCACACATCACACACACTACCACACCTGACCTCCCACCATTTCACATAGAGACCCACACCGTGCAACCCAGAAACCAAAACACACCTGCACTCAGCACCATCACACACACACAGGCCTCACACTGCCTCCAGACACACTACATCAGCCTTTGTGGACATCGTTGCATGATCCCATAATGTCGTACACATCCTCACACACACTGTTCCCTAGTGTGTCTGGGCATGAGCAACAGCCCACAGTGCAAAATTGCCAATGCTAACTGTGAATGACAGACAAAAAGGTGCACACACACACAGCACAATAATTCAAACACAAGTCACGCGACACCCACACATCTCCTACACATACACACATCACATTATTGCAGCACTATCGCAGACATCTTTGTTGCACCTCCAAACACACCCCAACGCCCTCACCCACATGACACACAGCCCTCGTCACAGTATATGTACACACACAGACGCACAGCCGGCACCCACACCCCAGGCCTGCCGCCGACACACAACACCCCATCAGTCACCCCACTGGAGCCCAAGAAGTTGAGGCCTCCCCACTCACTCCAACACCACTTTGTTCTAGGAGGAACACCCCAGACTCTCCCTGGGGATGGTAGAAGAGGAAGAGAGAGAGACACAGAGAGCATTTGACCTTGTAGCTTTCTCAGAATGTGGGTATCCTCTCTACCTATGGGAAAGGAGATGTAGGAGACACAGGCAAGGGATGGGGAGTGAGCTTGGTGTGTGAGGGTGGGTGGGTGAAGGTTGAGGACCTGGTGCAAGGAAATGTGTGAAAGGCTGAAGGCCAGAGGTACAAAAACAGAGACAGATTCAGAGCCACAGCATATGAACAGAGATAGGGCCAGAGAGTGAATGGAGACTTTCCCCAGTGCCCAGAGCCCCATCCCAATCCCGTCCTCTGACCTGTCCCCATCTTTCTCGCTGTCCTTTGTTGCCATGGTAACAGGGAGGCTGCCTCTGCAGCAAAGGAGGTTGGGCCTGCAGACTGGGCTGTTGCCATGGAGACTGGGAAAGGGGGAGGAGCCACATCTTTTAACCCAGATGCCTCGCCCCCAGATGCCCCCTCCCCAACTCTGCCCTCTTCCTGGGGGAGGGAGAGCCTATCAACATATCCTCTGTTCCTTCTCTTGACACCTTGGCCTAGAGGCATGGGCCTGGACCATTGAGAATGGGATTGGGGAGATGGACAAGCCTGGGGAGGTGGGAGAGGCCTGGATTCCAGGAGATTCTAGGCTCTCTCTACTCTTGCTCTCCAGCTGGGCCGGGGGAGGCCTCAAGTCCTTCCCATCCCACCTCAGACACAAGCTCACGTCCCCCCTCACGCACTTCCTCCTCAGGCACGAGCCTGATGAGACTGATGACTGTGCATCGTGCTCCCGGTGAGGCTCTGCAGAAGTGGGGGGGGGGGGCGGTGAGGAGGAAAGACTGGGAAGGTCACAGGGATAAAGGGGGATAGGGGAGATAGATGTGAGAGGCGGAAGGAGAGACACAGGGGGAGAAACAGGCAGCCTAGAACCAGAGAGAGGCAGATACAGACAGATTGAAAAAGAGAGAGAGATTGGCAGATGCAGAGATGAGAACACGGAGACAGAGCAACGGAAGAGTTCAGTGAAGGTGACAGAGACAGAGGGAGGTAGAGAGCCAGGCAGAGACAGTAAACTAGGGAGACTCAGAGATAAAGGCCAGGGGGAGACTGAGCAGAAACCTGGTAGGGGATAGGGGACTCAGAAATGGGGGAGAGACCCCAGAGGGAACTGGCCTCGAGGCATTGGGACAGAGAAGGGGAGAAACCAAAAATGTCTGTAATCATGTTCTTCTAGTCACCTCGACAGACAGTCCGGCCCAAGGGCAGAAACATTGATTGGAGTGTGTAAGAGACAGAGATGTAAGACAACAAAGAGAGGCTGGTGCCCGCCCCCACACCTGTCCGAGGGGCACACAGACAACCAGGGTCTGAGACGCAGAAGGTGACGGGTGGCGACGGGGGGCGCTGTGTGTGGGGAGGGGTCTCCCGAGGTGTGGCCGGCCTGCCAGGACTGCGCAGGGCAGGCAAGCCCTGGAGGACAGTCGGGAGCGCTGGGCTGAGGCTGGCCAACTGGGTGCTGAACGGACAGCTCCCAAGCCCCGGGCCGCCGCCCAGGAATGGGCCCAGCCTCGCTTTCTCTGGGACCCTTCCAGTCAGGTTTTCCTCTCCGTTCCAGCCCCCTCCAGGCTCCATTTAGTTTTTTATGGCTTCCTGTCTCTTGCCTCAATTCCAGATGTCTCTTACCCTCCCGCTTCACCTCTGGTCTCAGCCCTCTATTCCTTCTCCACTTCACCCAGCCTCTCTCCCTGTCTCGCCGGCTCTGTGTCCCCCAGCTCTCTCTCCCCATCCCTCTCCCGCCCACTCTGCTCCCTTCGTTGTCTCTCCCCATCTCTGTCTCTCACCACCCCTCCATCTCTCCCTTTCTGCTCGGCCTCGTTTTGACTCTTGCTGTGTGACCTTCACTCGTCCTTCCTCAGCTGCAGTTTCCACAGAAACCTCCGGCGGGGCGAGGGAGGGCGGGGACAGAAGGCGGACCCACCTTTCTCCTGCGCCATCAGCCCTTCAGCCTCTCCCACCCCTGCCAGCCCGCCCATCCCCCAGTCTACTGGGATTCCTCACTTCCTCTCTTGGGGGCTGGGGAAGTACATTTTCAACAGAAACACGGGGGTCACAGTCACAGACAGTTGAAGATGGCCTCGCGGATACGTGCACACACGATCACAACGTCACTGAATCACCCCGGCCCAGGCACACACTCGCCACCCCAGGCACGGCCACACTCAACAGCTCACTGGCCCTCCCCTCCCCCAGCCCCATCTGCTTTCTTTCTGTGTCTCCGCTTCCGGTGTCTCCGCGTCTCCAGATCCCTGCATCTCTCCATTTGTCTCAGGGTCTCTGTCGCAGCCTCCCTCTGTCCTGAGAGAAGGTCAGTGGAGAGGGGCCAGGTACTGGAACCCTGGCTGGCCTGCAGCCTGTAGGCAGGGCCGAGGGTGGAGAGAGCATAGAAGTAACCATCGAGGCTCACTCCGGTTCTCGGCAGGTGCCCCGGGGACCCAAGCCTCCAATGCCCTCACACCCCCAGGAAATGAGAGCCGGTATCCCCAGTTCTGGGGTTTTGTTCTTTTTTTTATTCCAACAGGGGCTGAGATGTGGCAAGGGGAGGGATGGGGGCCCAACTGACCCCCTCCCTGGGGGGTCTCATAGAAATTCCGAGGTTTCTCCCCCCAAAAAAGAGAGGAAGAGAAGAGTGGAGGGGCACCAGGGGACACCCATCTGTCCAGAGGCCCTCCCCACCTCCAGAAGCGTGGGGGGCTGCATCAAGTCTTGGGGAGCCTGAGCAGTTCCAGAATGGGGTCCTCCCCGCTGACTGCTTTCCGCTTCCCAGAGCGGCCCCCGAAGTCCCCAGCCCCTGGAGTCCTCGGTTCCTGCGCCCTTCTCACCCGCGGCACCCTCTTGTGAGTCCACTGCGGGGCGCAGGCGGGCTCCAGAGCCGGGCCTCGGACTTCACCGGGAACCAAAGGCAAAATCGCGACGTCCGGGGCGCCGGCGCACAAGGCCTGTCCCGCGCCCGCTGGGGGAGCGGGGACTGCTGGGGCCTGGGGCAGACCCCGTCCCTGCGGTCAGTTCGGGCGCCCGAACGGCCCCGCCCGTGGTCACTCGTGCTCTGCCAGCTCCCGGGAACCGGCGGGGCCAGGCCGCGGCCGGGGCGGGCTGGTAGCTTCGGTGGGGGCGCCCAGGCTACGCGGGGGCGCGCCGGCCCCCGAGGCCCGCAGCGCCTGGATGCGCCGGCACTCCTGGCAGACGCGCACGTGGGTGCAGGGGGTGGGGGCAGCGGGTCGGGCTCCGCTGGGGGGTCCCGGGTCGTCCAGGAGGCGCTGCGGGCCCCCGTGCGCGCCGCCCGCATCCCCGCCCGCGCCGGCCGAGTACAGCTTGCCGTTGCTGAGGCGCATCTCGCGGACTGCGCGCAGCGACAGCAGGGCCCGGCTCGGGCCACCCGGGCGCCGGCGCCGGCGGGAACGCGACGTCTTGCGGCAAGACACGGCGTGGCGCAGCTCCTGCAGCATCTCCTGGCACACCGACACCTGGGGGCGGCGCGGGCGGTCACCGTCCCGGCGCAGTCCGCCTCCCGCCTCCCCCACCTCTTCTCCACACCTCACTCCTCCTCCTCCTTTCCTAGGCCGGGTCTTTCTTCCTTCTGCCCTCGCTTCCCTTCCCACTTCTCTTCCCTTTATCCCCCCCGTGTTTTCTGCCTCCCCTCTCCACCTCTCCCTTCCTGTCTCCCCACTTATCTCCAATGTCTCCATTCTTCTCTGCGTTTGTTCCTGAATCTGCCCTTCACCTTCCACCTACGCTCCTCTCTTTCCTCTGGTCTTTTCACTCTAAATTTTCTCCAGTTCTTCCCTCCTGATTTCCCATCCTCTGCCCCCATCCATGCGTTCATTATTGCAAGGCATATTTACCCGTGGCCTGCTGTGTGCCTGGCACTGTTCTGGGCACTGGGCATATATGGCAGAGAACGAAACAGAAGTCCCAGCCTTCGTGGAGGTTATACTCAAGTGTGCAGACAGAAGATAACAAACATTCATGTAGTATGTTAGGCGCAATGAGTGCTTTGGAAAGAAAATCGGGAAGAGGCCTAAGGTGTATGGGTAGGGAGTGATGATGAATTCTGAGAAAGGGCAGTCAAGGAAGACCTCACTGAGAGAAGGATCCTTAAATAAAGACAGGGTGAGCCACGTGGAGACCTGGGAGGCCAGCATGCTGGACAGATAACCAGGCAGGGCTGGAGTGCCCAGGTGGGAGCGACTTGGCACGTCTGAGGCACTGCAAGCAGGTCAGCCTGGCTGGAGGGGGGTGTGCACAGGGAAGACAGGGAACTGAGGTCAAAGGTGGCTGGCTCTGCTAAGGCCCATAAACCATTGGAAGGATTTTTGGCTTTCATTCTGACAATCAGAATGGAAGAGTCAGATGGGAGCCATTGGAGAACTTTAGATACAGGACTGCTGTGTTTTCACAGGATCACTCTGGAGCTGTGTTGACAACAGATTGTAGGGAGGCCAAGGGTAAGAGCAGGGAGTCCATGGAGGAAGCTATGACAATAACTCGGGCAGGAGATGGGGGTGGCTGGACCAGAGCGACCTGAGAAGGGGCTGGATTCTGGACATATTCTGAAGGTGAAGCCAATAGGATCTGCTAAGAGATCAGATATGGGGCATGGGAGAGAGGGAATAGTGAAACAAAAGTCCAATATTTTGGCCTGAACAACTGGAAGGACCAAGTTGCCTTACGGGTGGGCAGAAGCCCAATATTGGACACATCGCATCACGTGCACACCTATCAGACATCCAAGTGGAGATGCCAAGTGTGGAGCTGAAGTTGCAGACCTTGGCTTCAGGGGAGACACATATTTGTGGGTTAAGGCAGGCAGCCCTCAAGATCCCACCTCCTGCATCCATACCCCTGTGTAATCCCCTCTGACAGCGTATCAGAGCTGGTCTGTGTGACCAACAGAATTAGGCTTGGCAATTGCACATTCTGTTCCACCTTGCTCTCTCTGATTACTCGCCCTGGGGGATCTCAGCTGCCATGGTATGAGGACACTCAAACAGTCCTTGGAGAGGCCCTTGTTTGAGGAACCGAGGCCTCCTGCCAACTGCCATGTGAGTGTATTCATCGTGTTTTTTATTTTCTGTGTCTTAGGATGTTTTGACACTTTAAACATCTTGCAGGCTGGGGAGAGACTACCCCTCCCAGAACTAGCCAAGCCTTAGAGATAGCAGAGGGCTCAGCTGCCTTTCATGTGCAAACCAACCAATCCTGAGTCTATACCCCCAACCTCCCCTTTTACCTAATTCTCACATACCAAGCCAATATTCTTCCTGCCCTAAATCAACCCAGGGGCCAGGTACCAGATAACTAGGGCCAGCCCCTATAGCCCAGAGTCCACTGACATTATTCAAACTGGTCAGTTGTAAGCTGTTTCCCCTGCCCTGCCTTGCCTTTCCCGAGGAAACCCCAATAAAGGGTGTGGGCTGCTGGCTCCTGCTTCTAGTGTTTCCCTTGTGTCCCCTTCTCCTGGGAAATGTTAAGGAATAAAAATCATTTTTCTTTCTTTTTCTTTTTGAGACAGTCTCACTCTGTTGCCCAGGCTGGAGGCAGTGGTGCGATCTCGACTCACTGCAACCTCTGCCTCCCAGATTTAAGTAATTCTCCTGTCTCAGCCTCCCGAGTAGTTGGGACTATAGGTGTGCATCACCATGCCTGGCTAATTTTTGTATTTTTAGTAGAGACAAGGTTTCACCATGTGGGCCATGCTGGTCTTGAACTCCTGGCCTCAGGCGATATGCCCTCCCAAAGTGCTTGGATTACAGGCATGAGCCACCACACCTAGGCAAAAATCATCTTTCAATGAAATTGGTCTCTCCATGTTGTCACTTGGCTACTTCCAGAAACTAAAATCCCATGGGGACATTTGGGACAGTGAGCCATCTTAGAAGGGAACCTGGCCGGGCGCGGTGGCTCAAGCCTGTAATCCCAGCACTTTGGGAGGCCGAGACGGGCGGATCACAAGATCAGGAGATCGAGACCATCTTGGCTAATACAGTGAAACCCCGTCTCTACTAAAAAATACAAAAAAAATAGCCAGGTGAGGTGGCGGGCGCCTGTAGTCCCAGCTATAGGGAGGCTGAGGCAGGAGAATGGCACAAACCCGGGAGGCGGAGCTTGCAGTGAGCTGCGATCCGGCCACTGCACTCCAGCCTGGGCGACAGCGCGAGACTCCCTCTCAAAAAAAAAAAAAAAAAGAAGGGAACCCTCCACCCCTTGTTGAGCCTTCAGACCACAGCAGTCTGGTCAAAAAACATGACTATGATCTCAGCAGAGACCCACGGCAGCCAGAAACATTCAACTAAGCTGCTCCCAGGCTCTGGACCCACAGAAACTGTGAACCAATGGAAGCTGGCTTTTTAAAGCTGTTAAGGTCATTTTTATGATAGCAATAAATAACTAACACAAGAGTCACCAGCACATAGCGGGTCTTAAGAGCCATTTGGCTGGTGGGATCACCAAAGGAGTAGAGAAACACCGAGAAGAGAAGCAGTATAAGGACTGGAGCCCCACAACAGAGGGGAGAAAGAGAAACCCAATGAGGGAGTCTGGGAAGGAGTGACCAGAGAGGTAGGAGAAGGGGAAGAAGGGGCTTTGAGGACTGAGAGTGACTGGCTGTGCCGAAGCCCATTGCTACCTCATATAGATGAGGCCTGAGACCGGGAATTTCAGACGTGGAAGTTGTTGGTGACAAGAGTGGCTTCAGTGGAGTGGCAGGGACAGATGCCAGACTGGAGTGGGGGCAAGAGGAAATGGGAGGAAAGAAGAAACTGGAAACATCAGGGAGACCCCCCACTGCTGCCAAGGCTGTAAAGAGAAGGGGAGAAAGTGGGTGGTGGCTGGGAGGGAAAGTGAGGTCGGGAGAGGGTTTCTTTAAGACTGGAGAAATGACAGCACATTTGTATGTCGGTGGCCTGAATCCAATAAAGAGAGGATAACTGATGCTGCAGGAGGAAAGGAGAGACTTGCTGGAGGGATGTCCTTGGGAAGGCAACCTGGACACAGGTGGAGGGCACCTTTACTAGCAGCATGGACAGCTCCTTCAGAGGAGTCCTCGAGCCAAGTGCAGAACACTGGCAGGCAGCTGGATGCAGAGCGAGGGTCTGGGGAGTAGATGTAAGGTCAGCCGCTGGATGTGAGGAGGGGAGGAAGGGCTGGAGGCTGACAGAGAGAGGAGAAGTGGGGAACCAGCAGTCCAGGGGTGCAAGAGCACGAATGGGTCTGAAAATGCAGGGGTGTGGCTGGGCGGCCCCCAGGGACACGGAAGCAGCCCTCCTGAACACGGTGTGGGACCAGACCAGGGCTATGTCCCCTTCAGGTTCCATCGTCTACTGTTTCCTCACCTGTTTCTCCTCTTTTTTTTTTTTTTTTTTTTAATTTGAGACGGAGTTTCCCTCTGTCACCCAGGCTGGAGTGCAGTGGCACAATCTCAGCTTACTTCAGTCTCCACCTCCCAGGTTCAAGCGATCCTCCCACCTCAGCCTCCCGAGTAGCTGGGATTACAGGTGTGCGCCACCACGCCCAGCTAATTTTTGTATTTTTAGTAGAGATGGGGTTTCACCATGTTGGCCGGGCTGATCTTGAACTCCTGACCTCAGGTGATCTGCCCGCCTCAGCCTCTCAAAGTGCTGGGATTACAGGCGTGAGTCACTGCACCCGGCCCTGTTTCTTCTCTTATTTCTTCTTGCTTTTCTGCCTCTGTGGCTCCCCACATCCTGTCCCTCACCTCCTCTCCCTGCATCCTCATCATTCCCTGTACCTACTTTCCCTCCTGTTCTTCCTCACGCGCTGATTCTCTGGCCCCATCAGCTCTCTCACTTCCCCACCTCCTGCATTCCTCCGCCCTTCTCACGATCCCCACCACCCTCCACGTATGGCTCCCAACGCCACGATCTTCACGCACCTCAGCCCCTGGGGGTCCCTGTTCCTGCCCATCCCCGCCCCCAACCTCCTCACCTCCTCGGACTCTGCTGACCTCCGTGTGGACCATATGAATTCCATGACCGCCACGAAGACAGCAATGATGAGGCCACAGATGAGTACGACAAAAATGCCACCAATGTTCTCCATGCCCAAACCTGGGGGGCAAAGGGAGTTGGGGAGTCATGGAGTCGGGGCCGTGTGGGAAGGGGGCTGGGAGGGGGCTGTGGGAAGGGGACACCACACGCAGAAGCTGACCTTTAGCTCGATGGTCCTCCTCCTTGGGGCACCGGCCCCCTTCCCACCATTTGCGCTTCAGGATCTCCAGCCGGTTGTTCTCCTGAAGCTGCAGGATGGCCAGTGTGATCTCATCCCGGAACGGGGAGCCTGGGCAGGCACATGAGGGGATGGACCAGCCATCGGAGCCCTGCAGCCCTGCCCGCCCCAAACCCCAAACTGTGCCCTCACCACAGCCTTCCCCTGCTTCCACCACGTGCCCGGGGTCTTCCCTGTGGCCTTCCCTCACCCACCCCCACCCCGCCCAGTCTCCTCTCAACACAGCAGCCAGAGAGACAGTGTTAGGAAGAGTCACAGGCCACGCCTTTCCTGTGCTCAGGACTCTCCGTGGCTTCCTGTTGCAAGCTCCTCCCCTCAGCCACTCTCAGACACCTTCATCCCCACGGCTCTCAGCTCTAGCCCCACCAGCCTCCTGGATGCTCCCCAAATCCATCACACACAGTCCTGTCTTAGGACCTCTGCCTCTGCCTGGAATGTTCCTCTCCGCACTTCATCCAGGTCTCTGCCCATATGCTGGCTCCCCAGGGAGTCTATTCTGACGACTTTATTTAAAATGGCACCAAGCACCCCACTCCCTGTCAGTGTCTTCCCCTTAATTTACTTTGGAGAAGCTGTTACCACCTAACACTGTATTATATGGCTATGTGTTTATCATCTGTCATCTGCAGCCCTGTCAGGGTATCACAGCATCCAGTGTGGGACTTGGTATGCAGTGGGACACCAGACGAATCCCCATCCACACCTCTCCCTGGACCACCTCTCCTCCCCACCCTCAAGTCCTGCCCTTAAGCTATCCTTGGGTTTCAACACCCCACACACCCTATTCTATACTTATTTCTTCATTGACTAAGATACTTCCTGACCATCTACCACAGAATCAGAGACATGGGCAGGTGAAGGTGATTAATATCTACCAGGCACCAACTGTGTGCCAGACCCTGGGTTTACTCAGGTCTTATGATGATCCTGTGGGGCAGGTATTCCCACCTGAGGCAAGTGTTTCTGAATGAGGAAAGCGATACACTTGCTTAAGGCTGTGCGCTGAGTCAGGGAGGAAACTGGGATTTTTTTTTTTTTTTTTTTTTTTTTTGAGACAGAGTCTCACTTGGTTACCCAGGCTTGCATACAGTGGTATGATCATTGTTCACTGCCACCTCCACTTCCTGGGCTCAAGTGATCCTCCTACCTCAGCCTGTAGCTGAGACTACAGGTGCATACCACACCTGGCTAATTTTTTAATTTTTTGTAGAGACAGGGTCTTGCTATGTTGCCCATGCTGGTCTCAAACTCTTAGGCTCAAGTGATCCTTCTGACTTGGCCTCCCAAAGCACTGGAATTATAGGCATAAATCACAGTGACCAGACAGAACCGGGATTTGAATCCAGGTCGGTGTGACTCCTGGGCCTGTCCTCCAAGCACTAACCTACACTGCTTCCTTGGCACCGACTCACCTACAAAGCTGCTAAGATCTGGGGCAATTTGCTATGCAGTAATAGATAACTAATCCAGGTGTCATCAGTACATGGATGATTTTGAAAGTCAAAATGCCAAAATTTGATGACAATTTGGTCATGATTTCCAGCACTGAGTCCTGGAAAAACATGTCCTGGGCCATGCGACGTGGCTCATGTCTGTAATCCCAACACTTTCGGAGGCCAAGGCGGGCGGATTAACTGAGGTCAGGAGTTTGAGACCAGCCTAGCCAACATAGTGAAACCCCGTCTCTACTAAAAATACAAAAATTAGCTGGGCGTGGTGGCGGGGGCCTGTAATCCCAGCTATTCGGGAGGCTGAGGCAGGAGAATGGTGTGAACTCAGGAGGCAGAGCTTGCAGTGAGCCGAGATCGTGCCACTGCACTCCAGCCTGGGTGACAGAGCAAGACTCCGTCTAAAAAAAAAAAAAAAAGTGTCCTGAAATGTAAATAGGCAATACAAGTCTCCCTACCAGATCCCTCCATCCTTCCCATCCATCTTACAAGCATTTTTCAAGCACCTGCTCTGAGCCAGGCTATAGGTTTTATGCAGGAAATAGGAAACAAATAAGACCAGGTCCTCACCCCCTCAAGGGGCCCTTGAGGGAAAGCAGCAAGCCCCACCACCCACATATACTGAATTGTACACACAGTCTCACTGAATTCTCCCAATAGCTCTGCGAGGGCTGGATTGCTGCTAGGCCTGGTTTTGTAGGTTGGGGGCACAGAGGCTCAGGATGGTGGTGTCACCTGTCCAAGACCATACAGCCAGGAGGCCACATGCAACACACCCAGCCTGCCTCGGGGGTGCCTGGCCCAGTCCTGGGCCTGCTCACAGGTGGTTTCGGATGCCCATGGCCCCGCTGTGTTCCACACCACGCTGTGCCATACCCAGCGGCATGCCGATGCCGTAGCCCTTGGTGTCGAGGAGTCCCCCAATCTGGGTGAGGTTGCAGTTGAGGCGCCGGTGGTACTCGTTCATGGTGGACTCGAGCAGGAAGGCATAGCGGGAGTTGAGGACGCGGGCGATGCCCTCTTCTGTGCTCTTGACGAACACGCTGGGCTGCTTCGACTGCATGTAGTTCCACATGCGCTGGTACGTTTGGTACCGTGAATTCTGGGCAGGGGGAGACAGGGGAGGGTCTTTCCAGCCGCTTCCTTTCCCTGAGCCCTTCCCGTCCTCCAGGAAGTCTCCCTCAACCCAGGAGAGTTCAAGGTGATCAAAGGAAGACAGAAAGAGCCAAAGCAGAAGAGAGAGATGAGATGGACAAACTGTCCAGGCCAGGTCTAAGGCATCCCCACAGCCACTGTGCCCACCACCCATCTGGGGGCCCGGTGAGTGCACCTCCACCTCCTCCCCCTTAATCCTCCAGCCAGTGACCCCTGCCCAACTCAGGCCTCCTTTAGACCACTAGGACCTCCCTGCCAGGCTTGCTTTCCTTTTCTTTCTTTCCCATCACCCCAAAATAAAAAGGATCAAGCACTTTTCACCTTGAAGGGCCTTCCCTTCTCTCTGTCAGCCCATATTCCTGGTCCTGACCCTTCCAGCAGCCTCCTTGATCCCATTTGGCCCATATGACATTGACATTTGATACCACATATGCCTCCCTGCCCTCATTCCCCAGGTCCCTAGCCAGCCAGCTGTGATCCCCATGACAGAACATTTTCTGCTCCCCAGCCTCCAAAGCTGCTACTGACAGTCAGTCCCTCTGACCCAGGAGACCCTGCCCAGACCTATCCTGAGCTGCTTTGCATGGCAGGGATCCCAATACCATGCCCAAGAGGTTCTGGTGGTCCCACCTGGAAGAAGGTCATGGTGGAGCCAGCATGGATGGTGCCGTACTCGATGTTGGTCTGATCTGCCAGGTCATCGGCCGACTCCACAGGCACCTCCATGCGCTGCACGGTGAGGAAGGCGGCCAGGTTGGCCGTGTAGGAGGAGATGATGATCAAGGTGAAGGCCCACCTGAGGGGTGGGAGGGGTGAGCCATGGGCTGGAGCCACCCCTGCCACCCTGCCCCCGTGGCCATGCCCCCCATTGGTGGTGCCCCTCCCAAGTGACCCCAGCATCCAGAAGGCTCAGTGATTGCTGGGTGCAGAAGCAGGGAGTGTCGATTCTGAAGCCAGACTCCCTGGTTGTAAATATTGCATCTGGAGATTTCTACTTCCAGATATAAAAGAGTAAGATGGTCTGGAAATACCTTCCCACCATAAACAGCTAAAGAGCTGGATAGAATACACGAAACTTTTTTTGTTTGTTGGTTTGTTTTGAGACGGAGTCTCGCTCTGTCGCCCAGGCTGGAGTGCAGTGGTGCGATCTTGGCTCATTGCAAGCTCCGCCTCCCGGGTTCACGCCATTCTCCTGCCTCAACCTCCTGAGTAGCTGGGACTACAGGCGCCCGCCACCACGCCCAGCTAATTTTTTGTATTTTTTAGTAGAGATGGGGTTTCACCGTGTTAGCCAGGCTGGTCTTGATCTCCTGACCTTGTAATCTGCCTGCCTTGGCCTCCCAAAGTGCTGGGATTACAGGCATGAGCCACTGTGCCCGGCCTGTTTTGTTTGTTTTGTTTGTTTTTTGTTTTTGTTTTTGTTTTTTTGAGATGGAGTCTTGCTCTGTCGCCCAGGCTGGAGTGCAGTGGCACAATCTCAGCTCACTGCAAGCTCTGCCTCCTAGGTTCACACCATTCTCCTGCCTCAGCCTCCTGAGTAGCTGGGATTACAGGTGCCCTCCATCACGCCCGGCTAATTTTCGTATTTTTAGCAGAGACGGGGTTTCGCCATGTTGGCCAGGCTGGTCTCAAACTCCTGACCTCAGGTGACCCACCTGCCTCAGCCTCCTAAAGTGCTGGGATTACAAGCGTGAGCGACCATGCCCGACCAGGAAACTATTTAAAGACATAGGACAACAGACATTGTAGAACTGTGATCCCTGAGAAGAGAAACAAAATGAGTCTTATTGTCCAGGCTGTTTGGCTGGATTTAATTTATAGGAAGGGAAGCCCAAACAGCCCAGCAATCCTGCTGAGTTGCAGAGATGGAGACTGGCGATCAGGCAGGCCAAGATGGCTGGAATCTGGGGGACAGAGTGCCTGAGAGGAGGGAGCTGTGAAGAGAGAGAGGGTTCAGAAACCGTTGGTCCCCTTGAGTCTTTGACTGAATATCAATCTGTGCATGCATGGGGTGAAACTCTGTGGGGCTGGACAAGAGCAACTTTCAAGGAGAGAATTAATTCTTGAGAGTTCACACAGGGCTGAGAGCCTTTTGAGTTCCCTTCAGCCAGAGTAGAAAGATTTCACTGAATACATGAGACATTCAGTAGAGACCCAAAAGTGTAACATACTAGAAATAGGATTAAGTTAGCCCTAGAATAAAGGCAATGCTAAAGTTGTCCTAAAAGAGTTTAAAAACAGGCCTAGAAGGATCAAAGTAATTCACAAGTAACTTAACTAGATTCCAGGAAAAGTCTCTAATACTCTTTAGAGAAATATATTCAGCAATGTAAACAATGTCTGTTATGTAATTTTTCTTTTTTGAGATGGAGTCTCACTCTGTTGCCCAGGCTGGAGTGCAGTGGCACGATCTCAGCTCACTGCAACCTCCGCCTTCCAGGTTCAAGCGATTCTCCTGCTTCAGCTTCCTGAGTAGTTGGGATTACAGGCACTCGCCAGCACACTTGGCTAATGTTTGTATTTTTAGCAGAGATGGGGTTTCACCATGTTGGCAGGTTGGCCTTGAACTCCTGACCTCGGGTGATCTGCCTGCCTCGGACACCCGAGGTGCTGGGATTACAGGCATGAGCCACCAAGCTTGGCCTATTATGTAATTTTGTTTGCTTGTTTGTTTTGAGATGGAGTCTCGCTCTGTCACCCAGGCTGGAGTGCAGTGGCGCGATCTCGGCTCACTGCAAGCTCCACCTCCTGGGTTCACACCATTCTCCTGCCTCAGCCTCCCATGTTGCTGGGACTACAGGCACCCGCCACCACGCCCAGCTAATTTTTTGTGTTTTTAGTAGAGACAGGGTTTCACCGTGTTAGCCAGGATGGTCTCGATCTCCTGACCTCGTGATCCGCCCGTCTCGGCCTCCCAAAGTGCTGGGATTACAGGCATGAGCCACCGCACCCAGCCAATTATGTAATTTAAAAAAAAAAAAGACCAGGCTGGGCACGGTGGCTCACACCTGTAATCCCAGCATTTTAGGAGGCCGAGGTGGGCAGATTGCTTGAGGCCAGGAGTTCAAGGACAACCTGGTCAACATGGCAATACCCCGTCTCTACTAAAAATACAAAAATTAGCTGGGTGTGATAGCGCACACCTGTGATCCCAGCTACTTGGGAGACAGAGGCACGAGAATCACTGGAATCCAGGAGGTGGAGGTTGCAGTGAACCAAGATCACCACTGCACTCTGGCCTGGGCCACAAAGCAAGACTCATGTCTCAAAAAAAAAAAAAAAAAAAAAGACCAGGTAAACAAAGGTGCAGGAAAATGTGACCTATAACCAAGAGAAAAATCACTCAATTGAAACAGACCCAGAATTAACATAGATGATGATGGAATTAGCAGACAAGGACATGAAAACAGCTATTATAAATATATTCAGAATGCTCAGGAGTCTAGAGAAAAACATGAACATAATGAAAAGAACAGAAGACATAAAAAAGAAGTGAACAGAACTTTTAGAGAATGAAATACACACATCTGAAAGAAAAATTTTACTGAAAGGGATTACACAGATTAGACATGGTAGCAGAAAAGCTGAGGGAATTTGGGCAGGCACAGTGGCTCATGCCTGTAATCCAAGCACACTGGGAGGCCAAGGCGGGAGCATCACTTGAGGCTGGGACTTTGAGATAAGCCTGGTCAACATAGCCAGATCCTGTCTCTACAAAAAAATAAAAAAATTAGACGGGTGTGGTGGTGCCTGCCTATAGTCCCAGCAACTTGGGAGGCTGAGGTGGGAGGATCACTTGAGGCCAGGAGTTTAAGGCTGCAGTGAGCCTGATCGTCACTGCACTCTAGTCTGGATGACTGAGTGAGACCTTATCTTTAAAAAAAAAAAAAAATTCCCAGCACTTTGGGAGGCCAAGGTGGGAGGATAAGCTGAGTTCAGGAGTTTGCGAACAGCCTGACTAACATGGCGAAAACCCGTCTCTACCAGAAATACAAAACTTAGCCAAGTGTGGTAGTGCATGCCTGTGATCCCAGTTACTCAGGAGGCTGAGGGAGGAGAATTGCCTGAACCTGGGAGGCGGAGGTTGCAGTGAGCTGAGATTGTGCCACCGTGCTCCAGCCTGGGCGATGGAGTAAGACTTTGTCTCAAAAAAAAAAAAAAAAAAGAAAGAAAGAAAAAGAAAAAGAAAAGAACGGTGGCTCACGCCTGTAATCCTAGCACTTTGGGAGGCTGACGCGGATGGGTTGCCTGAGCTCAGGGGTTCTAGACCAGCCTGACCAACATGGAGAAACCCTGTCTCTACTAAAAATATAAAATTAGTCGGGCGTGGTGGTGCATGCCTGTAATCCCAGCTACTTGCGAGGTTGAGGCAGGAGAACCGCTTGAACCCAGGAGGTGGAGGATGCGGTGAGCTGAGATCGCGCCACTGCACTCCAGCCTAGGCGACAAGAGTGGAAATCCACCTCAAAAAAAAAAAAAAAAAAAAAAAAAAAAAAGATTAGAGAATTTGAAGACTGCAATAGAATCTATCCAAAATAAAGCACAGAAAGGAAAAAGTGACTGAAAATGAGCGTAGAGCCTCAATGGCAAAAAAATCTGATGAAGTAATGGCCTACAACTTTTCAAATTTGATGAAAACCATAAACTTGCAGATCTAAGCTCCATAAACCCCAGGTAGGCTAAACACACATATTTATAAAACGCACCAAGACACATTCTAATCAATTGCTGAAAACCAGCAATAAAGAGAAACATCTTAAAAGCAGCTAGAAGGGGGGAAACATATTACATTCAGATAATCAAAGATAACATGGGTGCCAGTCGACTTCTTGTCAGAGAGTGTGCAAGCCCAAAGACGATGCAACATGCTGAAAGAAAAATCAAAACAAGCTGTCAACCTAGAATTCCACAGCAGGCAAAAATATCCCTCAAAGAAGACACACTAACACATTTTTCATACAAAACCAAAGCTGGGAGAATTAATTGCCAGCAGACCCGCACAGCAAGAAATATTAAAGGAAGTTCTGCAGCTAAAAGAAACACAACACCAGATAGAAACGTGGATGTACCAGAAGGGTGAAGGGTACCCTCTTCAAATGGTAGATTTGTGGGTAAATAAAAAAGATATATTCCTCACGTTCAAATTTCCTTATGAAGCATTTAGTGGTTTTGTTTTGTTTCTGAGACAGGGTCTCGCTCTGGGGTGGAAAGACATGAACATAGCTCACTGTAGCCTCAGCCTCCTGGACCCAAGCAATTCTCCCACCTCAGCCTCCCACGTAGCTGGGACCACAGGCACGAATCACCATGCCTGGCTAATGTTTATTATTTTTTTGTAGAGATGAGGTCTCGCTATGTTGCCCAGGCTGGTGTTGGACTCCTGGGTTCAAGCAATCCTCCCACCTCAGCCTCCCAAAGTGTTGGGATTATAGGCGTGAGCGGTGCACCACACCCAGCTGCATTTACTGTTTAACACACACGCACACATATACACAAACCTAATGTATTATGGGGTTCATAAGATATGCAAAGCTCAAAGGATGGGAGGGTGAGAGGAACATATGTTGTCAAGGTCTTATATCTTATGTGAAATGGTATAATGTTACTTGAAAATATTTTGTAATAAAGATGCATATTGTAAATCCAGAAAACCACTAAGAAAAAATAGAACAAAGAAGCATAGTTAACAAGTCAAGAGTAGAGATAAACAGAATTTTTTTTTTTTTTTTTTTGAAACAGAGTCTTGCTTTGTCACCCAGGCTGGAGTGCTGTGGCCGGATCCCAGCTCACTGCAAG